GACTTTTAGTCCCCCACCGAGTGTGGTTATTAGCACGTAAATAGTGATTGAAAGTAACAAAAGTGGGGGCATTAAATAACTGGCGATTTATTGTGCACAAACTATCGCGTATAAAGGGACAAATTAAGTACAATCACGTATGAAATGTGTAAGACGTATTATCTATTGTGTGTGAGAATCACTATCAACCATACAGCTCCCGTAAAGACTACCATTAGAATTATTTTATAAGTGAATATAAAAGAAAAATCGGTAGTATGTTAGACAAAAAACGCGCTCTCAAGTCAGCGATAAAACATATAATATTAATGTAGGTGGTCCTTTCTAGTAGATATCTGTCTCTCTAGTAATATGTCGTTAACCATACAACTGGTTACGACATGCGCCTCGGCTACTAAGGTGATGAAGGTGATAACGTTATATAGACCGATGCCCCTCACGTTTCAGAGTATTCTTGCAAAGACATGCCAGTGCAGACTTGCTGATGCTGTACCGCTCTTACGAAAGTTGCCGAAGCTGGGTATAGTGAACTTACCCGGCACTGCATCTTCTCAAGTGACAAGTCGTAGCCATACGCTCGCTCGGTCATACAGCTAAGACACGTACACCTCTCGTACAAGTCGAAACGTGCGTGTAGTGCTCTAGATGTAGCGTGTAGTTTCAACTTGTTACAAGTTGAAAACTCCGAGCTACGAACCGTAGTCGGTTAGTTTAGGGCAAATACGTTTAGGGCGGACACGTTCGCGATCGGTTAGTCGCGTGCGTGGTGCTGCGTGCGTGCGTGGGCGACTGTGGTCGTGTGTGGTGTGCTTGTGTGTGCCTCGCGTCGTTGGCGGTCAAGTGTAGGGAGTATAAGGTTGCTCTATAAATGCCATCGTTTAGTGGGCCAAGAAATGCTGGTCTTGATAAATGGCCCTATGTTTGCCTCGCTTGGTCCGTACCTCCCTCCACCGCTCTGTCACCCACTTTGACCATCCAAAAGTGGACAAACCTCTCAAGATATAAGGGTCAAATAATGAAGCAAAAATTGTAACGATAAAC